TGACCTCGCAGAAGGTGCTTTTCTTCCTCCTAGAGGAGGAAGCTGAGGGTCAGAGGGGACGGCACTTGATGTGGTCATGCTCAGTGACGTGCCCCTGCAGCGTGATACCATGCCCACCCACTGCAACCCGCCATACCACCAGCCACCCGCGTCCTCGGTCTGGGGCTGGCGTTTGGGGTGGAGCCTTCTTTCTGCTGTGCACTGGGCACCCTCCCACGACACTTGTGTCCTAGTCCCCAAGGCTGCCCCGAGGTCCCCTTGGTGGAGAAACCCAGGGGGGCAGTGGATCACCTGGGACACCCAAGGCCGCCTGTCAGGAGGGTCCCTGGGGAGGGAGGCAGGAGGCCGGAGCCCTCACCTGGGCTGCTSGGGGCCTCAGGGGGTGCAGGAGCAGGTTTGCCGCCTCGACCTGCCAGTCGAGGCCATGGGAGCTGGGTGGGCACGGCCTTCCCAGAGGCACCTCTGAAGCCTCAGCTGGGCAGCCATTGCCCTCTGACCCTCCTGCTCCCAGGGCTGTCACCCTCTCCTGCTGGGCAGCTTCTCCAGGGGTTGGTGGACACAGAACTGATGGAGGCCACTCGGGGGATCCTGGTGGGGGTGGGGCAGGAGCCTCCTCGCGTGCAGGAGCCAGCGAGACACAGGGGCAGAGCTGACCACAAAGGTGGGGGCAGGTGGGCAGAGCCRGGCTGCGGCCTTGGCCCTGTCCTTCCAGATCCTCAGAACTTGCCTGGGTTCCAGACCGGTCTCTGTCCCTTGGACCATGGCTCTGACTCCATGAGCCTCGGTTTACCCCTTGGGCAGTGGATCCCTGAGAACCACCCACCCTGCACAGCCTGCCTGTCAGGGAACCCCTATTCCATGGCCTCTTGTGGGAGGAGTGTCTCACAGAGGACAAGATGCCAGTCCTGCTGCCCCCCCGTTGGACACAGCCTGGCTGTCCATGGGCTGGCCCTGTTGTGCTGTCCTCAGCAGAACTGGTAGGTGGGAGGGCTGGTCTGGGGTGGTGGGCTGACCATCGGGGCTAGGGAAGTCTGATTGTGAACTCAAAGGTTGGAATTGGCAGCTTCACTTAGTAGCCATGTGACCTTGGCCAAGCCACTCCCCACCACCCCAGACCCAATTTCCTCAGCTTCTAAGAGGGGGAATAAAGGTACTCTGAAAATGCACAGATCATATGTATTCAAGCTCCCCCAAGTTCAGAATTAGGTCCAGACTGGCTACAGCTAATGACTCTCATCCACGTGGCCAGGAGGAGACTGTCAGTCCTGGAGTGGTTTAGAAGCCACTCTGGTCTTTGCTGGGAGTGTGAAGTCTGGAACCGTGGCAGCCACTTTGACACCAGCAGGGCAGAACTCTTTGTGGCTGGAGCATCTCCATCTGGAACCTGAGACAGCTGAGTCTGAGGGAGCCAGAGATGAGGGACAGCACGTGCTTGACCACCTGGTCTTGAGCTGCTGGGTGAGGCCCGACCTGAGCTCTGTGGGTTTGCAAGTCCTGCTTTTTGTTTTCGTTCAAAACTGCCGATAGACGTGCAGTATCCCACCACGTTTATAGATGAATTTCTAAACAATCGCCAGCCTCCAGACTGGGCCGGCCCYGGGCGCTTTACAGTTTCCTGGCAGGGTCAGGCCCCCAGCTTCTCACCCCGCCCCGCACGGGGTCCCTCCCTAAGTGGTCCCTCTCCGCGTGCCCCTGGATGAGGAGGGAGCACCACCATCTCTTCCTGACAAAGCAGCCTGGGAGAAAAGTCACTGAGCAGCTTCAGCAAGGAACACCCCCAGCCCCCCTCCCTCCCGGGCAGATCTTCTGGGGTCCACCCTCCCCGCCACTGGCCACGTGGCTGCGTGGGGCCCTGTACCCCTTGGACTCCGGGTTTCCTTCTTCCTTTGTCCTTTGCAAGTGACCTCGCTCCTTTCACCTCTGGRCTTGTCTGGAACCTGCCCCTGGTTTTCTGAAGCCTCACCCTCCCAGGGCCTGGCTCCTGGACCAAGCACCAGAGCGTCCTTCCCTCCACAAAGTCACGGTCCTCTGCAWCATTCCCACCCCCACTCTCCCTGCGCTTTCGGCCTCTGAGACTCAGGGCTTCCTCCGTCCACCCCACAAACCCCCTCCCCTGGAACTGTCCGTCCCACTAGACACCTTCACCTGCTCCCTGGAAGCCTCCTCTCGGCTTTTTCTTCTAGTCCTTCGACTGCCTAAAGCCTTTCCGTGTCCGTATAACACTTCTCCTCCTCCCCCTGAGCTTCCCCTGGGAGCGGCCATCCCTGCCCCGAGGGGGCAGCRCCTGTCCTCCCGCGCTGCTGAGGGCATGAGGAGGGTCACCACCGACCCCCGCCCCACCCATCCCACCGTGCATACTGCCCAGTTTAAAGCCGCCTGGGGGGCGGGGGCTGGGGATGGCGCCCCGTGCTGGGTCCCATGCCCGTGGCCCTGGTTTCCATGTCCAGCCCTGAAGACGGAAAGAAAGCCCCATATGACCACTCTGGTCCCACAGAGCGTCTGTGAAGGGGACAAAGAGGATTCTCGGTGCTGCCCTAGTGGGGACAGAGGAGCAGGAGGGTCACAAGGAAGGCTGGGCAGCACTGACAGAACCTAGTCCCTGTYCTGTGCCATCAATGGCATCTGCCACCTCTGGGTAAGGCCTCCGTCCCCCTGTGCATCCAGCCTCAAGCCCAGGAAGGGCGGGAGCCTGCTGCCCCCTCCCTCACAGGGACCCGTGGAAAGGCCACACGGGTCCACAGAGTGAGCCACCTCCCAGTCGTCCCTCCAGTAAAGCCAGCTGCGGGGTGGGGGGACTCGGGAGAAACACCCTCAGCCAGGGCTACAGTGGCCTGGGTTTTGCTAGTTGGCTCCTCCGCCCCTTTCTCGTAACAGAGCCTCTCTTTCCTGGGGACATAGCCCACAGGGTGACTCCCCCACAACCTTGGGGAGCACAGGTGACCCCAGTAACCAAGCTGAGCACTCCATTCTTCATTGGCTCAAAGGGTGGCATGTGACCTAGAGTTACCAATCAGGATCTTCCTTGGGACATGACARACAGTGTTTGATTTGATGACGGCTCTTTCTGCTGGGGTCGCTAAGCTGGTGGCCTAAGGCTTGGGTGCTGCAGCCGAGCCACATMGAGAGTCTCTAGAGAGATGGCAAGAAAGAAGCCTGAGCATAGGACTGAGCCCCTGGATCCAGCCATTCCTGAACCTCGGAGTCCCTTGACTTCCCAGTGGCATGAGCAAATAAGTTCTGGTTTACGCTTGGGTAATCGAGGCTTCTGTCACATGAACCAAAGTGCTCCTTAACTCCTCCCTGGGCTCTTCCTGCTTTAGGCCTCTGGTCCCAGCTGTCTTCTGACACACAGGTGGGAGGTCCCCCTGAGAGGGAGCAGGGCTGGGAGGAGATGCAGGATCGTCCTCTGAGCAGGTCCTGTGGGTCTGGAGAAGCATTTCCGGTTCTCGGAACAAGTTCCCGTCCCTCTCGGGGCTGCAGGATTCCTCTGCAGGTGTCCCCCTGGAGGGAGGGCGGACAGACAGGCAGACAGGGAGAACGAGGGCGGGACGGACAACCTGCTCCTTCTCTGCTTTTACTAGTGACTAGTCAATTTCCTTCCCGAAGAGACCAGCGCAGACCTTCACCTCCAGCCCCCATCAGCTGCCAGTAAGGCTTCGCCAGAGTGTCGATGACAAATCAATCATGCAGAGAGGGCAGGTCTCGGAGGGAAAATGGATGCTCCGGTCCGGGCTGGAGTGGGAGCCGTGGTGTTCCCGCCTCCCACAGCCCGGGGGACCTGCGCCCTCAGGAACGCGCTGAGGCTGGCTCCGGGTCCCCAGCTCCTGCGGAAGGCAGTTGGAAGCCCTCCGCCTGGGTGGCTGGTATTTGAGACGGGCTTCCCCCCCAGGACGCGATCTGGAGGCTCCAGCCCACGGCGCGGCTGCGGTGACTTTTGCCCAGCAGGGCTGTGCCRTCCAGCTCAGGGGACAGGAGCCCTGCTCCCGTGATGACCCCAGCTGCCCCAGGCTCAGAGCCGCTGGGTTCTTGGCTGCAGGGTGGCCTCTGGCTTCCCTTGGTTCCTGGGAGTGGCCTGGTGCCGTCCCTGGCCCTCAGCCTCCCCGCACTTTCCTGGCTGAGGGCTCCCGGCCACCCTGCTCTTCTGTGGTTCTCTGCGTAAGTCGCCCRTCGGGCCTCCACGCCTCGGCCAGGGCTGTCCCTGCCTGGAGCACCATTCCCGTCCCACCAACTGCCCCTCTGTGTGGCCTGGCAGACAGGGCTCCAGGGCTCTCTGCYCCCTGAGAGGCCTCCTGGGCTGTGTGCCTCACTGTCCCGTGTCTCCTGTGACGGTCACGGCTCCTGACTGTGGTCCACCGTGAGGATGGTTCTGCTCCCCATCTGCAGCCCCAAGCAGGGCTCGGCTTGCAGCAGGTGGCCGGCAAGGAGCTTTGTCCCACAGTCGCTGTCCCTGGAGGTGTGAAAGTGGACAGACAGGGCCACAGAGCCCCATAAAGTCCCCAGCCTTGGAGGGGACCCCTGAGGTTGTGCAAGGGACTTCTGAGGTTCTTGCCAATCCAGCGGTCCCACGAAGGCTGAGTCAGGGGGACCCGCTGACGGCCTCCTTGTTCCAAGGGTCAGCCCTGTGACTCACATTGGCCAGGCCCTGCTGATGGGTCAGCGAAGGTCACCTGACCCCTGGGCCAGCCAAAGACTTGCTTGGGACTGCAGGAGGTCAGGGAGCAATTTGCTCTCTGAGAGTTCAACTAAGAAATCCTAGATCGATTCTAGAGAAGGGAAGATTCTAGAAGGTCAGGTAGGCATGACAGGGCTTGAAGGCAGGACTTCAGGGAAGAGAAGAGTGTGGGTCGGTGTCTCAGTGCATCCGGCTGCTGTAACAAAACACCTCTGACTGGGCACTTTATAAACACCAGAGGTTTAATGCTCACAGCTCAGGGGGGAAGGCCGACACCAAGGTGCCACAGCTCCGTGTGCCGAGGGCTGCTCTGTTTTGAAGACGGCACTTGTTGCTGTTCCTCCCAGGGAGGGAAGCTGTGTGCCAAGGGGAGAAACCAGCTCCCTCAGCCTCCTGTAAGGGCACCCATTCTGACGGGGGTCTGTTGTTTCCAGGCCCCCCCACTGCTGCGGCTCTGGGGGACTTAGACGTGAGTTTGTGACGTCCCGCGCAGGCAGCCAAGGCGGAAGGCCAGGAGGCAGGACCTGCCCCGGCCCCAGAGAGAACAGAGAGCCCCACCCAGCCAGCCCTCCTCGCGGCACCAAGGCTGCCTCTGGTCAGTCTTCAGCCTGAGCCCTTCCCCACCCTGAAAGCYGGCTCCTGCTGGCCAGATGTGGGCAGCGGGCAGGTCCAGAGTCCATGAGACAAGGCACCCTGCCCAGGTTCCCCGGCACCTGCCGCCTCCCAAGTGCAGCCCCAGGTCCCTGCTACTCGCCCCCCTCCAGCTCCCTGCGTCCACCCACAGGGACACTGTGCTCTGCAGGCGGGAGACTGCCGTTTCCAAGAGTCATCTCCCTCAGCTTGGGGGTGAGCTGCGCAGGATTGCCCCGGGCTTCCTGGCCCCCATCTTCGGGGACCTCGCTTGTGGACGGCTCGGCTTCAGAAGTGGGATCTGTGGGAGGAGAAGACATCATCGAAGGAGCACGAGGCCCCTGGAGTAACCAAGGCCATCCAGAGAACTGGGGACTGAGGCCATGGTCCCCTGCTGGCCCAGTGGACACCTGAGCGTCCTCGCTCCCAGGCCCGGCCCTTTCTGAACACTGCGGCAGCTCCCAGCTCCCCTCAGGCCCTTGGCTTTGCCCAGATGGCCTCCAGTGGGGCGGTAAAATCCCGGGCCTCACCACGGTCCCTGCTCGCCCAGCGGCTGCCCCCCTGCTCACTCCAAACAAGATGTGGCTTTCACCTGGGCCTCCAGCCTCAGCCGCCCCTGTCACAGCCACAGCCCTGGGCCCAGGGGGGTCAGCCCTCTTGCTCCCTAGCCTCTGCCCGGTCACCAGCCGACCACCCTKGTCCCCAGYCCAGGGCTTTCCCAGGTCTCTGCTGGGCAGGAGCTTCTCAGTCACCGCCCCCTGGCCTCCCCAACTGCCCCTCTGCATCTGCAGGAGGCTCCCTGCCTGGCCCCGGAACTTGCCCCTCCCCCCTGCCCGACGTGGTCTCACTGATCCCCGGGACGCCCAAGGGTCCTGGAGACAAGTGGGAAGGTGGGGGTGAGGCCTGGGTCTCCTCACTGGGCTGGGGCTTAAAGGCTGGACCCTCAGGACCTGGGATCTATGACCCTCGACTGCAGAGGCTGGCGGATGGAGGCTGGCCTGTCCACTAGAGTCTGCCAATCTGGTTTTGTGACCACTGGTGAGATTTTGTCCCAGGTCCTGGAAGCCTGGGGGCTGAATCCCCCCGCACCGCCTTCTCCACACTGAAGGCAGCACCTCGGCCGCCCGCCCCTGCTCCAGGCCCTTCTCTGGCTCCCACGGCCTCAGGGYGACTCCAGCACCCCCCCTGCAGCCGGAGCTGGGCTCTGGCGCACGCACACCCCCACCCGCTCGTCCTGGCCTCTAGGCTGTTGCCTGCGCTGTTCTGCCCAGCAGGTACGCCCTCCCCACCCTGTGCCCACCTCGGGCGGTCCCCTCAGCCCTGGCACCCTCTTCTTCTGCACAGTGGAACCCCCGGCTCTGAGCCAGAGGGTCAAGTCCCGAGGGGCAGAACATGCAGGATTGCTAACTGCGCACGTCCTTTCTCTTCTTCTTGTGGCAGAAGGACCCCTCTGCTGACACTCAGCTGGGCCCAGGCTGCCCAGCCCACCTTGGGGCCACAGGCAGGCCCCTGGAGTGGGTGCAGAAGAGGGAGGTGAGCTCCCTCCCAGGGGGTGGCCAGCGCTCCGTGACCACTCCTCCCTCTCCCGGCTGACGGCGGTTTCACCCCCACAGTCAGGACAGAGTCCTGGGACAGCTGAGCATCAGCAGAGAAGGACTCAGGTCAGTAGATGTCCTCGAGGACAACCCAACCGGGACCCCAGCAGGTCCTGAGAGAGAGGCCTGAGCTCTGGGCAGGTGACACTCATGCCCAGGGCCTTGTGGCTGCTGCAGGGCCGCCCACCCCCCAAAAGTCTCGCTGGCTGTGGTGTCCAGCGCCTCTCAAGGCCACATTAACAGCTGCACCTCCTGCTGCTGATCGTGCCCTGGGCTGGGCAGGCAGCTGAGCGCTTCACCTGCTCATCCAATCCCCTCCTCAGGAGGCCTGCGGGGGTCACTGAGGCCCTGGGCTGGAAGAGGTGACCTCAGTTGCCACTCCGCCTGTCCTCGCCATCACCCACCCTGCCTCCCAGCCCTGGGAAATGGGCGGCTGGGGGCCAGGGGAGGGGACCAGCCCACCTGCGCCCTCCTTCAGCTCCCCGGGGTCCTGCTGGCCATCTCCAGGCCCCGCGGCTGAGCCTGGGCTGGTGGCCCCTGGGCCTGCCGGGAGGACGGTCATCCTGTTGCTGTTGCCGATGCTGGTGTATTCGAGGAAGCAGGACTTGATGTGGACTCTCTGGACTGTGTCCGCCTTGGGGTGAGGGTCTGGCTGGGGCGTTCGCGTTTCAAATGAAGTTTCCGAGTCACCGGCCGTGGCTGAGACTGTGGACCAGCCCAAGAGACGCCCRGAGGAGTGGGCAGCTGGACGGTGGCCCCAGAGCCCAGCTCCCAGCCTGGCTCCAAGTCCTCCTTGCTGACTTCACCAGTGGCCACCTGGCTCGGTCAACAGCCGAGGTCCATGCCCTGTTCACCACCAGGCAGCCACTCCTCCTGCCCTCCAGAGCCCCCAGAGGACCTGGCACCTCAGCCTTTCTCTGGACCCCAGTGATTCCTTCCTCATCTCATCTCTCTGCTTCCTGGCAGGGCTGGGTCAGGTCTCCACCTTTGGTCTTGCTCAYGCCCAGCCCCAGCTCCTGCCATCTGGCTCCTCCACCCAGACTTCTGGAAAGAGCTGTCCACGCTCAGCCTGGCCTCCCTCCCGACCTCCGACCCTTGCTGGCAGAACCCCACACTCTTCCCCTGGCTGACCTCTCCCCCAGCTGGGCCCCTGCTCCTGGGCCCCTGCGGTGCCCCTCCCATCCCGTCTGTCCCTGCCTGGGAGGCCCTGGCTCAGGGCCTCTGGTCACTGTGCTGACCCTGCTTCAGCTGGCCAGCCTCRGCTTCTCAGGGAGGACGTGCTGGTCTTACAGATGGGGAAACCGGTCTCCGGCTGGTCAGTGCCATCTCTAAATACCCCACCTGTGCCACAGAGTGGTTCAGTCTCTTGGAAGGAAAAGACCCCCTGAAAAGACTCTGGCTCCTGTCCCTCCCCMCCAGGAACTGAGTGGGGCGGGGGAGAACGTGGCCACAGGACGCCAGTTACCTGGGGGGCTGGTTGACAGCCCRTGGGCAGGGCCTTCCGGCAGGTCGCTGTGCAAGCTCATCTCGTTGCTGTGTCCCACCTGCACCCGTCTGAGCAGGGACCGCTCCATGTGGATTTCCTGGGACCCCCAGCCACCTGCCAGGGGTCCCTGAGCCGAGGAATCACCTGGGGCAGCTGGGGGCAGCTGGTTGGGAGCTGTGGGACCTAGAACAGTGACACAGTGTTAGGAGGGGCATCAGGATGTCTGGACTGGAGAGCAGGTAGCCAAGGAGCTGCAGCCAGGATGTCCCGAGTGGGGCCCTGCCCAGGGTCCCATGGGGACACCTGCAGTCTCAGTAGTCACCCGTTGCCTGCTTCCTGGTYCTTCTCAGCCTTCTGATCCCATCAGGAGACCCTTCCTTGGTGTAAGCGTGTTCTCAACACGTCATTTCATCTCCTGGACATTTACCTTCATGGTGAACTTCATGGCTTTCAACTCAGGGGAAAGCTAAAATTTTTATTTTAAAATATATTCAAGTCGGGGGTGGGGAGYGAACCACTCAACAGCCCTGATTAAACAAACAGGGACGTAGCCAAAATCGAGGAGGTGACGTGGGAGGATTCACACTGGGGAGATGATCATCAAGACGTCGGAACAAAGTTCCTCATCTCACATCTGGGAGACTGAGGCCCAGGGTCGAGCCAGGCTCTCCCAAGGTTACAGGATGCATCTGAATTTGGGGCTGGTGTTCTCACACGGGGTGCCGGGCTGGACTGAAAGAGGCTGGCACCCTTGTGCCCCAGTGCCTGGCATGGAGCATGTTCAGCCTGCAGCTCTGCATTTCAACAAAATGAGCATGTCTCTGCTGACCTGTACCCCAACCTCCAACACATGCTGCTGTGGGGAAAGAAGTGTGTCCAGAGAAAATGAAATATCTCCACAGTGCAYGTGTGATGTTCTGCTGACAAAGAAGAATTTGAATTATTTCTCAAAATACTACATTCCATTAAAAAGAGCAAAAGGTATTGGAGTGAAGGGATAGCAGGAGAGGTTTGATCCAGGCTCCCTCATTCTCACAACAGCTATAAAGGAGGGCCGTGGACATTAGGAAGCTGTCCTTCCTCCTTGGAGGACTGAGTGCCCCACAAGCCCTCCTGGGTACCTGTCAGATGACTTACTGCTGCCCTCAAAGACTTTCTGCTTCATTAAGACGTTCCCGTGTCCGATCTGGATGCCTTCGGAGTTTGTGATGGTGATGTGGCAGTTGGGTCCACTCTGGCAGATCATGTAGACTGGAGTCTGCTGGTGCACTGCTACAGCAGATGGATTTCTTTCTTCAGAATCTTCTGCAAAATAATATTCCACTCTCTCCCTTTGCCCCTCGATAGGGGTCTGAGGCTCCAGATGCCAGTTGGCAGCACCAAACTTCCCTGGAGAGTTTGTGAGAAGGGTTCCCAGGCACCCCATCTGGGAACCTGCATGGGCGACTCCAGCCTTGCATGATGGACAGCTGCTCGGGTGTCACAGAGGGAGCCCAGGGTCAAGATGGCAGGTGGCCCTCCTAGTGTCTTGCTGCCCCGCCACCCAGGCCCAGGATGGCTCCTGGGAGGACTGCAGGAGCCATGTCCTCTCTCCCTACCCTCTGTCCCCCTCCCTGGGAGGCACCCACAGCTCCAGGCCCTGAACCCCAGGGGCCTGTCCCCTGGATCAAACACTCAGATGCCCCCTCTGACTAGTGACATGGATTTGAACTTGTCACTGATTTGAACTCCAGCTGCTGTCCCACCTCATCGATCCTTCCCCACGTTGCTGACCCCACAGGGGCACTGTCCGGGTGTGGGGAGGCTCCCTCCCCAGCTCTGCGGACCCACCAGCCACCACACCACCTCCAAGGCCCTGGGCCGTGGTGTCTTTGTGGGTGGGCTCTTTCATCCATATGGAAATAAAATCAAATTACACTTTATGACTGCGTYGTAGGAAGACAAAACCATCCAGGCTGCGTTCATTCCCAGATGCCCGTTATTGTTAAAATGTTTGGTTTTCTTCTGACTTAAAAAAAATCAAAATGGAAACATCTTTGCAGCCTCTGGGGTGACCGAGGCTCTAGGCCCTGGGTGCCTGAGGCCAGGTGGCCCTGGATGCCACACTTGAGGGGCCTGAGCCTTGCCTCACCTTCTCTTGGCCAACTTTAAAATCCCAAGATCGCGGCTCAGCCCGCCAGCACTTTCTCTCCCGGAACCCTTTCCAGGGGATGGTCAGTGCCACCTCTAGAAGCTTCTGGCAGGTTCTAATGAAGGGGAGCAGGCAAAGTGCTCAGAAGGGCCCTCGCCAAGGACTGGGTGCTGGGCGCGATGGCTTCTCTTGGGTGCTGCGTGCGTGGGCGTGGACAGCGGGGGAGGCCTACCTGGTGCAGAGATGCGCCACACTTGCAGCTTCTGGTCCTGGTCCAGAAGGCGCTTGCTTTTCATCTTGTACAAGGTTGGGTTCACGTCCTTCGCTGTCTTCATTCCCAGGGCCTGGGCGATGCGCAGGGCCTTGCAGGGCCCGCTGGCTTTCAGAAACCCGAGGATCCTTTCCTCTGGGAGGCAGGGTGACTAGGTGGTTAAGAAGACCCTGCTCCCAAGTGTGGGTCTGCCCCGCTGCTCGCTGGCTGTGTATCTGGGGACAGGGGCCCGCGACCTGGGTGGAGCAGCAGGGATACCCCGCGGGCAGCTGTGACCTAGGATGTGTGCCTGGTGCCGCAGCCCTGCGCCTGGCAGGTGCACAGAAGTGGCAGAGAAACAATTTCTTGGCCATTTAGATTCTTGGGCTGCCACAAAGACCAACTCTGGCCTCAGGACCCTTGGTAGGAGCCCTTTGGGTAGGACTGGACTCAGCACTGGTGACACCTTGTACCTCTGGGAGGGCTTGGGGTGGGGGCGGCAGGGCTGGACGAAGCAGAGGCTGTGCTTACCCAGCTCGCTGAGCTGAAGGCCAGGACTCTCTGCCGCGGCAGGTGCTTCTTCCTGGGGCTTCTGGGCTGGAGGAAGACAGGCGGGTCGGGGCTGGGCACGGGCTGGGAGAGCAGGCTCCAGCTCTGGGGTGTGTGAGGCCAGGTGAGTGTAGGAGCCCACTGAGTGTCAGGCTTGGTGTCCGTGGGCTCTGGGGCCAGAACTGGGCTCAGGTGTCCTTGGGTGTGCTCGGCCACCATCATGGTCACTGTGATGTTGCCATCATTGTTTTTCTTACCTCGTGGGCTTTGCTGTGACCTATTCTGCTGATACTGGGCTCTCTGCACCTAGTCATCCCAGCAGCTCTTACGAAATGGCCCTACTGTCATCACCATCGACCAGAAAAAGTAAAAAATCAAGGGACATTAGATGTCCCCAAGTGGCAGAGACTGGATTCAAACCCAGGCCCAAATCTGTGCTTGTCTATTGCCCAGATCTCTCCCGTGGGCCCAACCCACCCAGGAACGCAGTTTACCATGGCTGTCCTGGGCAGGCTGGGTGGGATCCACACCTCCGGGATCACCTGTGCCCAAGCGCCATGTTGCAGGGGCAACTTGGGAGACTGTCCCCTCCTTGGCCATTCGGTAGAGGACTGAGTTGAGCTCCTTCTTGGGCACTTGGCATTCCTTCACCAGCTGGTAGGACTTCAGAGGGGAGCTGGCATCTCCCAACACCTGCAGGATCTTCTGCTCAAGGTGGCCTGGGAGGAGGGGAAGGCAGAGAGAACTGAGCCCCAGGTCCCCTGGGTGGAGAGGGCCAAAGACTCCAGGAGGCCAGGGAGGCCCCCTCTTGAGTAGGGTCCAGGGCAGAAACCATCCATGGCAGCAAGTAGAGCCTGTGTGTGGAGAGACAAGCAYGTGGGCTGGAGGGTGACGGGGACAGAGGTGGTGCACACCCTCTCCGTGTGCCCTCCCAGGCGTGGCACCAGGGCAGGTGGGAACGCTCAGCTCGCCACGTCCCAGGAGCAGGGGGTGGAAGGGGGGGGCAGGCACGTCTGGCCCAGGGCCTTTGCCATCGGTGCTTCTGATGCCCCTGCTGTCGTCAACCTCAGTGGTGCCGTGATGATCCGAGCCACAAGCCCCACAGACATTCGGAAGCAGGTCTTTCCTCGGGTGCCCAATCACGGAGTCCTGAAATGCCACACTCAGGTCTCTCTTGAGTCCTGGGCTTCCCCATTTCTCTGCCCCCACCACCATCTCCAGGATGGTGGGGTCCACCAAATGCAGCCATTTCCCCGAGGGTCTCCTCTGCACCTGACCCCAGCTTCTCTCCAAGGGCCCCTGTGCTCCTCCCAGTCCACTTGCCTGCATGTGGCCCTACTCAGAAAGACCCTCTCAGACCCGTCCAGCATCTCCTCGACCCCTGCTCAGAGCCGTCTCCTCTGGGAAGCCTCCTCCCTGCGCTTGCTGGTGTTGGCTGCTCTGGCTGGGTCCCCTGCAGATCATCCCCACAGGGTCCCTGTTGTTTGCCTGGTTCCCTGTCAGACCTTTGATGTCTTGCCCAGGACCAGGCACACAGTAGGTGCTCATGGAATGGAAGTTGAATGAATGAGTGAGTGAATGAGTGAATGCTTTGTCCTCTGCTTGGACAGACACTGCCCAGTTGGCCCAGGGCAACTGGCATGTTGCTTCCTGGTCTCAGCACAAGGAGCCCTAAGCCTTGTGGGGACTCAAGGAGGAACTTTGCAAACAGCCCCTACTCCTCCTAGGGCAAGGCCTGGAAATCAGAGCCATCACCTCCCATCATTAACACAAAAACAAAAACCCCAGGGCGCTGCCAGCTGACAGCATGACACAGACGCTGTGTACAGGTGCAGGTGACGCCCAGGAAAGAGCAGCTGGGAGAGCCACATGGGTGGTGGCCTGGCCTGTCACCAGGAAGTTTCTGCCCCTAAGAATACTGCAGGTGGTGAGAGGAGGGTTCTCCTTGGGACTGCCTGGGTCCCTTCCTCTGCATCTGGGGTTTCTTTCCTGATCAGCAGACAGTCAGCTGGCCCTGGCCCCAGCAGAGGCCCTTGTGGGGCAGAGTAATGAGCTTGTGACCCCACAGTTGGGGCTGGGGCTTGTTCTTGTGATCAGAATGTTGCTACCCTGCTGGGAGCAGGTGGAGAGCAATGAGAGGATCAGGCTCACCCACTCCTCCTTCACCCACCAAGTTTACCCAGGGGAGGGGCACCCAACCAACTCTGCACCTGGCTTTGCCTTGTCTTGCAAAAAGTGTAAGTTCTTGGGGAGCCCACCCTGAGCGCTGCGGGGCCACCCAGACCCCAAAGGACAGGTGGGGTCAGGGAGGTGAATGAAGAGCCAGCCTGAGAGCCTCTGGGTCTGACAGTGGGAGGTTGTGGACCAGAGCAGGGGCAGGGGACAAGCCCAGCAACAAGGGAAGTCGCTCGGGGAGGCAGAACCTCCTTGCCCGGTGCCTACAGGGTCCTACCAGGAAGAGCGGGCACTAGTCATGGCCAGTGCTCCTGGGTCACAGCCGGCCGCCATCAGTCCTCCCCAGCGCTCACTTCTCCTTTTTAATCTCTGGTGAACTGAGCCCCTGCTGCACATGCCCCGTGCCTCAGTTTCCCCACAGGTGGAACTGCGGCAACAGCAGCGACTTTAGGGATTCAGCAAAACACAGAACAAGAGAGAAAAAAAAATGAAAACCACCCATGTGCGCAGGCGCTTAGCGGGGCCCCTAGAAAGGAGCGGTCCTCCATGCTGGCTGAGGAGTTCTCCCTGGTGGCCTCCGGAGGAAGATGGTCACCAAGGAAAGAATATAACCCACAGAAAACAGGAGCATGTGCCTCTTTTCCAAGCACCAAGCTTTGGTTCTCAGGATGACTGTGCAGAGCCACTGGTGCTTGGCGGCTGTGACAGCCGGGGACTTCACGATGCAGGGCCCCGGTTGTGCCATCTAGGAAATGGGACAGCACTGCTCTTGATGCTGGCGGCATTTCATGCACCTAGACACAGGAGCCTTTGGAGGGATGGCTCGGCTCCCTGGCCCACTCCTGTTCTCCAACCCACTGCTGTTACCTGGGCCAAGCAACCTCTGGAAAGAAGGAGGAACCCGCCCCCAGCCCCAGGAATTACSCGTGCTCCCTGGAGGAGGAAGAGCCTTACCTCTCTTGCTTGGGTCAGCAGGAGCCTCGGCCATGCTCACAGCAGAGGCAAGGGGCCCAGTGGACCTGGGAGCAGGTGGCTGTGCCGTGGCCTTGCGGGTGTGAGCCGCAGGAGGCTGGGCATCTGAGCCCCCACTCGGGGAACCTCTGAACCCACAGGGAAGCTGTCAGCTTCGACCCACAGCTGTCAGGACTCACACTCCAAAGACAAACGCCCAGTCCGCCCCACCCCATCAGGAGAAAGAGAAAATGAAACTKTGTGTGGTTTTTCTCAGAAAGAAACAGAATCGAAAGCCGGACCCATGAGGGAGAGAGGGTGGACCCCAGCATGATGTGGCCAGGAAGCAGCTGGGATTGGCAAGGCTGGGCGCCTCTGAGATGGCCTCCTTCCCCTCCCAGCACCCAGTGCTGACTGCCAGGCCCCACATGGAGGACAGGATGCTTCGGTGGGTGGGTTCTCTGCATTTGTTCCTGCCTATCCAGGGGCCCCACTTTAAGAAGCACCTASTATGTGAATTCCAATGCATTGGCCTCCCCAGCTTTGCTACAGAGGAGGGCTGCCTTCTTTCTTCAGAGAGGAAACTGAGGGATTTGATCTGTGATACCCAGAAGTCAGGCATGGTGAACCCCCAGCCCACACACCAAACTGAGGCCCCACGCTCATGGGAAGATGCTCCATAATTTCAGAATTGTGGGTGGGATGACTGCCTTCCTGCACCAACTTCCCACCGGCCACAGGGTGGCACCTGGGACAGCGCTGCTCAGCAGTTAGGGACTCCCAGCAGAGGCCAGGATTTTGGGTTCAAACAGCCCCACCACGTACTAGCTGTGTAACCTCGGGCAACTTATTTATCCTGTTTCCTCATTTGTAAAACGGGGTCCTGAGAGCACCACTTCATTGGGGTGCTGGTGAGAACCAAGGGGGTGATCCAGCAGTCTGGCCAGAGCCCCTGGCGTCATCTACAGGTACGAGAGCACTTGGGCACCGCACATGTGCTTCTGGAGAAGGACCCATGGCTTCCACAATTTTCCAAAGGGGCCAGTGACCCCAAAGCAGTTCAGAGCTCGGTTCTCTTCAGATCAAAGAAGAGACTGGGGTTCAGAGAGGAGAAGGGCTGCGGAGGACTGGGCCCTGGAGTCTCTGGGTTTGGGGTGCAGCAGGTTCCTACTTGGTGGCCCGCGGCCGAGGGCTGGGGGGCGTGCCGGTCCCCACGCCCCCTCCCCACCCCTCGCCCCGAGGTTCTGCGCCCAGCTGCGAAGCAGCAGGCGGCCGGGGTTTGCCTGGACACTGCCTGCACAGCAAGCACCGAGCGGGCGCTTCCTCCTCAGCCGGACGCAAGTTGGGGACTCAAGGAAGTCCCAGCGCCGGACCGCGGAGGCCAATCAAATGCGACCTCGTGCGGCCAAGCGGGGGACGTTTTCAGTTCCAGGTGACCGCTTCTGCTTCCGGGTGCAGAGCCAGCGCTGCCGGGCAGGTCCGTCAGGACAGCACGCCCCAGGGGCCCTCACTGCCCTGTCCTGCAGAACTGAAGGCATGTGCAAGGCCGCCGGAGGTGACCAGGTCCCTCCGCCGGAGCCTCGGCGGCGCGCTCCCCGCGGAGCCCCCGGACGGCCCTGCGCGGCGCGGCGCGGCGCGGGCGGGGGACGGCCAGCAGGGGGCGCGCGCCCTCCGCCCGGGGCCCGGCCGCGGGACACACCCCCCGCCCTCGTGGCCTCCGGGCCCAGGGCTTCACCCCTTCGCCTTCTTGCGCCCTCCTTGAATCCCACCGCCGCTGCTTGTCTCGTCTGCCCTGGRAGCCAGCGCCCCGGTGGTTCTCTGGCTGACCCTGTGGTCGGTTCCGTCCTCAGCCTTTGCACAACCCACCTCCGCCAGGAGAGACCCTCCCTCCATCCGCCTCCAGGGCCGCCCCGTTCCTCCCAATGCCCCTCTGCCTCCTGGCCGGTTCGCCGTGACCTCTTCCAGATCAAAGGAGAGACTGGGATTCAGAGAGAAGGGATTAGGCTTAGGGTTAAGGTTAGGGTGGGGTCCCAGGCCGGTGGTGGAGCTCAGGTCTCTGGTGGGCTCCCGGCCAAGCCGAGGGACTTGAGCGCCATCCCGAGAGTCAGCCTGGCTGCTAGGAAGGTCACCTAAACTCAGTGGAGGAGGCCAGGGCCCATCGTGGCCCGTCTGGACAGCTTGGACGGCCACATGGAGCCTCTTCCCTGCCTCTCCCAGTTGTTCCTAGAAGCCAGAAATGAGTCACTGTGCCAGGAAGGCCAAGCGCCTGGGGAGGTGCCCTGGGGACAAAGATCCTGTCTCACTCACCCTCTTCTCCAGAGCAGTTTTGAGCTGCAACTCTGCTGTTCCCGGGTAGTGGGTGGCTACCTCTCTGAGCCCCAGTTTCTTTAGCTATTAAGTAGAGATAACAAATAAGAAAAACATTTCCATCAGCCTTTACTGTGTGCTCATAAAATTTGCCCAAATTTGGAAATGTATGTGATGCAGCTCCATAACACAATTATAGGCCCTGCCACAAACAGGCAAGAAGCAAGAAAGAGAACAAAAACAACTTAATGTGGGCGGGTTCCACCTTTGCCTTCCTCGCACATCTGCAGCTRAAGCCATGAATCTGCTGGGAGCGTCTACGACACTGAGTGGGATGCTCACTTTTAAAGATTTGAATTAGCTTGTGTTCCTCCTCTCAATTTAAGAAAATTGGGAGCTAATTTTGACCATGAGAGTTGTCTTCAAGCCTAGATAGCAGTGGCTTCAACAGCACAGATGTCGTTCTTTTTCCTCTCGCAGTCTAGAGGGCAGTCCACGAGTGGTGTGCTCCCTGTGTTTCTCAACCTTTCGCAACCTCCATTCCCAGGTTTGCCTTAAGTTCAAGAATGGCTGTTGGAGCTCCAAACCTCTCATCTGCATTCCTTCCAGCAGGAAGGAGTAAAAGAAGGGCAGGTATCTCCCTTTTTGGAACACACATTGCAAATTGCCCATACTTCCACTAATAATCCCGTTGGTCAGAGACTAGTTCTGTGATCCTTACCTGCAAGGGATGCTGGGATAGATGGTCTGTATTCTGGGCCACCATGTGCCCAGCTAAAACTGGGATTCTATGACATTCAAATAGGGGACAGCAGCTATTGGCAGAGGCCTGGCTGTTCCTGGTGTTTCAGGCTCTTCTGCAAATCTGCTCTGTGCCCATGGAGGCCCAGGGAGGCTGAGTCCAAGGCAGCATTTTCCTGCTCAGAGACTCCCTTCCCATGTGGGTGGCCAGAGAGGACAGGAGCAGGCAGGGCGGYCCCTCCTCCTCGCCACCTGGAGAGCGCCTGCAAGTCCAGACTTCAAGATGGCGCCGCTGTTGCTGAGCGGGCCTCTCTCTGCTTGGAAAGTGTGCTCCTTTTCCATGGCTGGTGTTTTTCTGGAAGCTATTAGAACTCTCCGCCCAAACCAGATGATAATTACATGTTACCCATCTCTAGTCTTTGAGTTTTTCTCCGACTCTTTTTTAAAAGAGAGATATTTTTACTTCACATTGTGTTGGCAAAACCCAACCCTCTACCGGGCAGTGGGGAGTTATCTTGAGATTCCTCTGTGAATTCGGCTAGGGGAGGAGGAGGAAAGGCACCGAGTGTGGACAGCAGAGGGTCATGATCAGGGGCAAAGGTCGGAGCGCCAGGACCTGAGGGGGGCCTGGGTTGTCCAAGGCCTCTGGCTCTCCTGGAGAACAAGGAACAAAGACTGGCAAGTTGGCAGTCCCCAAAGGAGTGGCCCTGGCTCTGCTCTCTGTCCGTCACGGCAGAGCTGTGGGTGGGGACTCCAGCATCCCGAGTCCACTGGAGTCTGATGGACCTGAGTTTCTGGTCCTGGGACCCCCACTTTTTAGCTCTGTGCCTTGGCAAGTCTCTGCTCTTCCTGGGCCTCAGAGGCTCCCTTTGGAAGTGGCTTCGCTGTGGTGCCTGCCCGTGGGGTCCTTGCAAGTCCCCGTGGGAGGGCCTATGGTGCACAGAGCACACAGCCCTGCTCAGTAGACAAGAGCTGGCCCTATTGTTGTGTGCCACCCCAGCCTGTCCTCCTCTGTGGTGACAAAGCATCTCATTTGTCTATTTCCTCACTCACAAGATAGTTCCTGGGCCTTTTTATTTACTTATTTGTTTTAATCAGGCCACTTGCTGAACCCTGCAGGGCGGGAGAGCGGCTCCTCGGCTGGCTCCTGGCTCCTGCCCACTCTGGCTGCAGAAGAGGCCACGTGGCCCACCTCCTGGGATAAACAGTGTGACCCGCTGAAGCCCGAGGGCTCTGCCACCCCAGCAGCACTGGCTGGTAAGTGAGACCCAGGTGGGCACCATTAGTACCTGCCGCAGGTGAGTGTGAGGTTGGGGGTGGACAGGCCAGGGCCCTGAAGGCCTGAGAAGAGCTGGAGATCACCTGGGGCAAAGAAAGGGCAAGCTGGGGATCAGGGAGGTGGCCCTGGATGCTGGGGGAGCAGGTGGCAGGAGGTGGTGTCCCATGGAGGGACAGTCTTCACAGCCACCTCCTTCTCCCCTTTTCTTTTTACAATGACTGTGAGGAAATAAACTCAAAGCTTTTATCTTAAATTTTATTTGAAAACTTTTATTTTAAAATTGATTTTTTTAAAAATAATTTTGCTTTCCAAATTATTTGTCTAAAGAAATTCGTTTAATTCCACTGGCACAATCTCTCCACTGAGCATTCTTCTTGGAAATTCTTAGCAAAGGATAAAATCTCTCCTGTAAATTCTCTTCAACTACCATGGAGTGCTGTGAGATTTTTTCCCTGACTAAATGGAACAATTAATGGACTTGACTCATGGTTAGGTTTTCTACATGTTTAATCAGACATCGACTGATTCCGATTCTGTGATGGTTTTCCTTTTCTCTTTCTATTTCGGAGCTCAGACATTTTCCAGGGCTCGTGAAGCATCAGGGGGCCTGAGGTTCCGACGGTCCCTCTGTTTCAGCAGCCGGTTTCATCACTGTGACCAAAAGACCCGGCAAGAACAGTTAGAGGAGGAGAAGCTCCRGTGCTCAGGGTTCAGAGGTTCAGAGCCCCGATGGCCGCCTGCCTTGCTCTGTGCCTGAGGAGATGCCGAAGTGCAGGGCAGAGAACGCACGGCCACCAAGAAGAGAGAACCGGCTCTGTTCACCAGG